GGGAGGCCCAGGGCCAGTGTTCCTGCCGGGAGGCCCAGGGCCACCTGTCCTGCTGGGAAGGCCTCGTCTTGACCTCTCACAGTTGAGGGCGAGCTCAGTAAACTTCACGGAGAGTTAGAAGCTGAGGGGGAGGTTGAGTGGGCGCTCATCGGCTCCAGGAGGAAATGCAAGGAGACCACACATTTCCGGATTTGGCAGAGAAGAAGAGGGATGGGGGGGGGGTGGCGCGGTGAGGACATGGGAAATGCTGGCCTGGGCTGGCAGGCGCCTGGGAAGAGCCTGGGAGGAAGCAGCCGAGAATCAGAAGGAGGGCAGGTCGTGGGCGAGCGTGCACCAGGCCGGGCAGGAGCTGGTGATGAGTTAGCATTCAGCAAACCCAGTCTCAGAGAGCCGGGAGGTGCCTGTTGGGGAGCCTGAGCCCAGCTTCCTTCCGGGGATGGGGGTCTTAGCCCAGCTTCCTTCCTCCCAGTTCACACTGGGATTTCCTGGGGGAGGAGAGGATGCTTAGGGCTGGGGCTCAGGCTGCTGAGTGCAGATGCACCGGCGAGCCTCCTGCTAGAGTCCACTTGAAAGGCCCTTATGCCCTCTGTGCTCTGGGGGCATCTCGCAGACTCAGAACTGGACCTGGAGTCCACCACTAAGGGGCTCCACGGGGAAGCGCAATTCTCCAAAAGGTTCTAGTCAGGTCTTCGTACCCCAGGAGAGGATGCGAGCCCGCTTTGGTGTTTTGGAACTCTCTGGCATCCAAGAAGTCTATGAGCGAGCCAGCCAGCGCCCGTGGGAAGGAGGAGGAAGCGTGGTTAACAGGGGCTAGGGATGTAGCTCCGTTGGCAGTGTGCTTGCCTAGCATGGGCCAAAGCACGACTTAGGGTGTGGCGGGTGGTGGCTCCCCCCTGGGGGCCGCAGCAGGCAGAGGAGGCGAGAGAAGCAGACGGTCCACGGATGGCATTCCCAGCTGCACAGCAACTATGAGGCTAGCCTGGGTTACTTCGTGAGACCTTGTCTCTAAATAAATAGATACGTGTTTAAGAAGTGGGTTTTTTTTTGTTTTGTTAGGTTTTAAAGGCCATAAGCAAGACTGAATAATGGGAAAATATGGTTGGAATGCGCGCCTGAAAACATCATAATGAAACCCGTTACTATGTATAACTAACTATGCTAACAGAACATTTTTATAAAGGAAACTACTAAGAACTACCAAAGGAACCTCTGATATAGAAAGCTAATTTTCTTATTTGTTTGTTTATTTACGGGGTGTCGTAGAAGTCCGAGGACAGCATATTACAGTACATGCTTTCCTTCCCTGGGAGTTCCGGGGGTTGAACTTGGGTCTTCATGTTTGGTGGCAAGCACCTGTATCCACTAAGCCATCTTGCCGGCCCTCTGTCTCTCTCTTACCATACACAGTTATTGCCGTGTTACAATCACAGTCTACAGGTGGCATTGTTTGATACAGGTGACAAAGGAACACATTCGAGAAAATAGCGTTGGGAAATGTGTGAGAAACTGATGCGTGACTGGGAAGTGTCTGACGTTACCACCCGGTGTCGGCCACAGTAGCCACCCTGCCCTGGGACTGGTTGGTTCCTCTCACAGTGGAAGATACTCTGTTTTAACAGGTGATGGAAATAATAAAGAAGACAACTTGTGTTCATCCCTGGATTCTTTTTTTTTTTTTTTTTTTTTTTTTTTTTTTTTTTTTGGGGGGGGTTTTTTTTTTTTTTTTTTTTTTTTTTTTTTAATCTTTGTGTCGGGGGCTGGAGAGGTGGTTCTGCAGTCAAGAACACTTGTTGCTCTTGTAGAGGACCTGGGTTTAGTCCTCATGTTCACAGGGTGCTCACAAACTCCAGTACTCCAGTTCCAGGGGATCTGACGACTTCTTCTGGCCCCCTTGGGGAGCAGTACACATGAAGTGCACAGACACCCCCTCAGGCACAACACCTACAAACCTAACAAGATAGTTTTTTTATTTGAGTGTGTGCGGCTGTCTCTGTCTGCAGACACAGACGTTACAGTACGGCACCTGTGTGGAGGTCAAAGGACAACCTCAGATATCAGTCCTCACCATCTGTCTTGTTCCCTGCTGCTTGGGCCTATGGACTTCTGGGGATTCTTCCCTTAGGAGTTCTGGGATCATAGACACTGCTTACCAGTTACCGTGTCTAGCTTTCTGGGGGCTCTGGGCCTCAAACACAGTTCCCCATGCTTGCAAAGCAAGTATTTTACCCACTGAGCCGTCCTCATCCTGGACCCCGTGAGTTCTATCTATGGCCTTCAAGATATTAAGAACATCTGTAGCAACTGTTCAAAGCCTCCGTGCTTAAGGGGCCAGAGAGGTGATGCCTGAGGCCAAAGAAGACAATAGGGAAAGGGCTGCAGAAAACGCTGTCTCCTGCTTGAGCAGTGCTGCTGGGCTGCAGGGGCAGCAAGCCTGCTATCACTCAGTCTTCACAGCATCCAGAGATGCCAAGAATACTAATTATTATGTAAATTCTCCTCGTCCTTAAATGTGAGCAAAAACGTGCAAGCTTTAAAGTGCATTGTGGGGCCCAATATATCTGCAGCTGTGACCTGGAGGCGTGGGAATTGGGCTCCCTGCTGTTGGAGTCTCCTTGGAGAGAAGGGGGGTTGTGTGTTTTCCAGCATCACCCGCTAGACCTGCTGCCCTCAAGAAGACCATTGGCGCATGCACGCAGAACCCTCTGTTCCAGCCTGAAAACAGCTGGCAGCAAACCTGGTCTGCAGGGGAATCCTCACCTGCTATCGAGACACCTCCCGGGCCGGGTTTCCCTCCCTGGCACTGTGTGCACGTGTGTTGTATGGAAAGGAGCCGCGCCAGCCCCCCTGAGCTCCAGGCTCAGCATTCCCGCATCTCAGTCCAGGGGACCTGAGAAGCCTCAGACCTCTGTCCACTCCTACACAGCTCATCCGGGACGTGGGCCTGAGAGGTTGGTGCCGAATGCTGGCCAAATGTCAGGGATCCTACTTACTTCTATCTTCATTTTTTTCTGCTTCCCCCAGCTGGACCCCTTAGAGGATGGAGAATAGGAAATGAAGTAAAACGTGTTTGTTCAAAAACAGACAAGATCTTAAAAATACCCCCAAGCAAAAGCATAAAATAGTTGACTTAAGTCCCTTAAGAAGTGGTCACTCTGGAAGGGCCCAGTGACTGGGCAGCCATCTCCAGGGTTTTCCTTTTCTGGGTGTGCAGATCTGAGGCAGGAAGGAGGAGAAGCCGGCCAAAGGATACTGGCTGCTTTTGTGTTGTACACACAGTGTTCAGCCGGGTCCCTGCGGGCCTCATTTTCTGGGGGTACCAAATGAGGCTCTGAGCTGCCTGAAGACAGATTCTCCAGGTTGGGTGGTTATGGGAGCTGGGAAGTGAGATCAGAGAAGAATCCTGCAGCCACATTGTCACATCCCAGCCTTGATTTAAAAAAAGAACACCCCGTGTCTCTGTGGGAGTTTTGTCTGCATTTGCTGGGTAACTGCTACATCACACACACACACACACACACACACCACACACCATTCACACACACCACACATACACCATCCACACACACCACACAATATACCACACACACATACATACACCACACACATACACACACACACACACACACACACACACACACACACACACAACACACACACATCCTCGGTGAGCTGGGCTGTGGCAGGAGCTGCAATGTGGGTGATAAACCAATCCACCTGCCTGGGACAGGGCTTAGAGAACAGGGCCTCTGTGAGCCAGCTCATGACAACAATTGAAGGCTCTAGGGAAGTGGAGCTCCAAAAAGAGCATGAGGAAAATCTAATGAATTAATATAGAAACATCTTTAAAATTGTGCATCTCAAGAGACTAACGAGGTGTAGTCCTTTTTATCCTCCCAAGTCACTAGTGAAGGCACAGTGGTACTCCTGCAAATTCCAGGGAGCATCTGTGATCCCAAAGCCCTTCATGTGTCCCTAAACAGCAAGTTTGGATGATACCTCCACCTTGAAGCCCCTTTTCCTGTCACTCACGATTAACCATGGCTCTGTGCAGTAGCCAGCTCAGGTTTGGTGGGGTCCGATACTTAGAGCATTTAGGGACTCCTAAATTTTCTCGTTGCCGTGAGAGAATACTGACCAAAGCAACGTAATGCAGCAAGGGTTTATTTTGGCCCAAAGACTGAGGATGTACAGTCCATCATGGTGGGAGGCTTGGCTGAGAGAACTACTTCCAGTTAGGGCACCCAGAGCAAGAAGCAGCTGGTGACATCTGTAGTCAGGACACAAAGAGAGGTCAGGGAGCACTCAGATTGTTGTCTGTTTTTTAATTTAGTCTGGAACCGCTGACCTGAGATGGTGTCTGAAAGGTTCAGGCATTATGCTGGCCTGCCCCTGTTACCTGGTGGAATCCACTCAGGCAATACCCTGGTCAGCCCAAGGTTCCATGGGAAAGAAGTCTGTACGCAGGTGCAGGGGACCCCTTTAAAAGATAGGCCCCTGCCCTCTCTCTCTCTCTCTCCCCCTGTTCCTGCTCTCTGTCCCCTCTCTCTGTTTCCCCGCTCTGTCTCTCTATGGCGACCGGCCATTGCGGTCAGCCATTACCCTGTTCCTCCTCTTAGTCTCCCCATTCTGCCGGTCCTTATAATAAACTTATAGTCAATATGTCCATCTCAATATTTCTCTTTTCTTCTTTTTAAACAAAAGAATAACAGTGTCACCCATGTTCAGGGCAGGTTGTCCCTCCTCAGTTAAATTCTCTGGAAACAGCCTCATTGGCGCAGACATGGATGTACCCGGGTGATTTTCCATTCTGTGGGGTTGACAATGAAGATTAGCCATCGCAGGAGCGTTCTTTACAAGAAAACAGCCTGACTCCGTAGTGTCTGCAAACTACAAATGACCTCATGAACAGCCCTAGGAGAGATGAGAGTATGAAGGGGGTTCACCAGCTCCACGATGAACCCCCCATGGCCCAGGAAGTTGGTAATCGCTGGCCCCATCTTCCATGTGGGGAGAGTGAGATTCAGAGACAAGAGGGCGCCGTGCCTGGACGTGGTGTCCCTTTGTCTCTGATGGGTAGAGATAGTCCCTGGGCCCTCACCGCATCCGGGAGTGAAGACGAGTCTTGAAGTCACGGATTTGTTTATTCATTCACTGGTCTCTGCAGTCCTTCAGAGGCTCACCTTTGCATCCATGCACATACAGCACTCAATCAACGCGCGATGACTGAACATGTATGCTCAACCTTCACTGATGAGCACTCTTGGCCAGTCTGTGCCAGCCAATGAGATGAGAGCTCATGGGCTCTCATCTTTGGGGGGATTTCCCAAGGTTCCAAGGGGAAAGAAAGAAGAAACACTGCTATGAAACCAAATGGGGTTGCAGAAAAGAACAGTCCATTCAATGGGCCAGCCACTCCATGTGGCTCTTGGAAGAGTTCCAGTGACGTGGGGGGAGTCGCATGTGAGACGTGCGAGCTGCTGGCGCTAAGGTAACATACTGCTTCAGAAGAACCTTGTAATTAGGAGGATGCTCTAAAATAACAGTAAAAGCATAGTGCAGTAAATATGTCAAGCAACAACAAATTTTTATTATTATGAAACACGATGCCGTGGACATCACTGTTTGCACCATGCTTTTATACGATGGGCGGGTGGGATTTATTTACATGAGCACCAACACACGCCCCTCAGGAAACTGTTGCGCTATGCTGCCGTCCCACCAGTGGAAAATTATTTTTCAGCTCCACTAAAATGTTGTGGAACCATTGTTCTATATTGGTCTATACTGATGAAGTTATTATGCGGTTATATTACATTATATTAGGAACCACAAGGGAAAACAAATATTCCTGCCCCCAGGAGCCTGGACGCTATGGGGGGCTTGGGGAAGAGACCATTGCAAAATACTTAATAATACCCCAGTCTGAGGAGGGAAATAAATTAAGAACAGAGGATCCTGCCGGGCGTTGGTGGCGCACGCCTTTAATCCCAGCCCTGGGGAGGCAGAGGCAGGCGGATCTCTGTGAGTTCGAGGCCAGCCTGGTCTACAAGAGCTAGTTCCAGGATAGGCTCCAAAGCTACACAGAGAAACCCTGTCTCAAAAACCAAGGGAAAAAAAAAACCGAGGATCCTGCCTACAGAGGCTTGTGTATTTGTGTGTGTATTTGTGTATTTGTGTGTATGCAAGCATATGTGTGTGTATGTGTGTGTGTATATTTGTGTGTGTGTGTGTGTGCGTGCGCGTTTGTGTGTGATGAAGAAAGGAATGTTTTAGCAGAGTTCTGAAGGTGAGGGAGTCACATGACCACCTGAGCCAGGGCCTTCCAGACAGAAGGAACACCAAGTACAAAGGCCCTAGGCGGGAGGAGAGTGAAAGGAGCAGACCGGCTGTGAATAAAGAGAGGTCAGCCAGGTGCAGGGAGTGGGCTTTGCAAATGATGGTGAGGAATCTCCCTCTGCTCAGAGCCAGGCAGGAGCTGAGCTGCTTGGGGTGGAGAGCAGAATGACCCATCCCAATTCCCTTTTAGCAGGATCCCTCTGTGCGATGGATTGAGAAAGAGTGCCAGGGTGGAATAAGAAAGACCTGTTGTGGCCTATCTCAAGAACGTGGGCAGTGAGGATTGTGGTGTGGACTGTCTGGTGGCCACACAGCGGTGAAAATGACCCATTTCCAGCTGATGGTGACGACAAAGATGATGAGGAGCGGGCTGTGTGGGACAGAATAGACTGAGGATGTCTCTGGCATTTCCAGTCCAAGTCACTAGGAAGACGGATGTCTAGAAGGGGAGAGGCAGGTCACAATCTCGAGTTTCAACATATTCTTTTCAGGGGGGGCAGTTCGAGACAGAGTTTCTCTGTGTAGCTTTGTAGACCAGGCTGGCCTCGAGCTCACAGATATCTACCTGCTTCTGCCTCCTAAGCGCTGGGATTAAAGGCGTGCGCCACTACAGCCTGGGGTGGGGGATGGGGGGTTTCAGCATATCCTGTTTGAGGTCTTTCCCAAGCCTGCAGGGAATTGGCTGCAAATGGCTGGACTTCCTAAGGGAGACAAGGAGAGATAAATCCAATTGTCCATCACTCTTGCCATCCAGGGGCTGACGCTGAAGTCTGAGCGCCTAGACATGAGGTACAAAGCTGAAGAAAATTGACAAGTGAGGAGCATTCAGGGCCCCCAGAAGGAAGAAGTGACCCTTTCCCAAAGTAAGAGTGGAGAAGGGGCCAGTGGCTCAACGAGAAGGTGGCCTCCAAGGTGGCCTCTGGTAATCTCGTCAGCAGAAACGAAGGGGGCTTGTTGGAGGAGTGTAAGTGGTTTAAGGAGAAGCCCCAGAGGCAGTCCGAATGGTCACCTTTCCCTCAGACACACAGAAAGAAGGGGACCAGAGTGCTGGGGGTGGGGAGGGGTGAGTCTAGAACCAGCTTCTGATGAAGGGGAAATACTAAAGAACAGAAGTGATTGCAGAGTGGGGGATGGGATGATGCCAGAGAGAAGTAAGAGGCAAGAAGACTGGGGGGCTGGAGTGGTTGGGCACGCCTAGGACTTAGACACGCGGGAAGGAGGGTCGGTTGCGCAAAGGGAGATTTGTGCTTGAGGCTGGCCGCTAGGCTGAGGGTGGCGCTAGGTAAGAGATGAAGCCCTGAAGTAGGTAGGAGGGCTAGAAGAAAGGAGTTGGGGTGAACGGCAGTGGCAAGCTGTTCTGATGGTGGCAGCTGCTAGTTGCCCCAAGACCCTTCCTTGCCAGGCAGGGACTGCATTTCCCAGCCCTTCTTT